GACGGCTAGCGCAGATAGCCCTCGTGTAGCTTTGCACGAAATTCAAAAACAAACAAACAAACAAATAACCACTCTACCAGACACTTGCTTATATTATACGTAATGCCGGACGTTGTTTTGATAATATCGATATTTCAAACTCTATGATATTTACTGCAGTATCCCATCACAGAAAAATATTTGGTTGAAAATATTTTTTAAACTCGATGGCCCTGTGTTGTTTAGTGTATAGCTTTGAGTATAACCTTGTTCTTCTAACAGTCCATTCCAGTACAACACAAACCGATTAGTAATGTTTCCATGAAACTGGCATGGTGACTAACGTGCGTTGCTATATATCTAAAGGTCAGAGTTTGAACCACGATGCCTCTCAACACGTTTCATACTTTCAAATGTGTACGCGTTATAAAAGTAACAGTCGATCCACTATTTGATTCAAAGCTCCTGTAGCGGCGAGTGCTGTTGATTGACTACTCTCCTTCTGGTTAGTAGCTCAAAATTAGGTCGGTTGTACCTGAATTATTGGGGGCTTTGACCTGACCGCTTAACCCATGTGTTGAAATTTCTAATTCTGCGAAGTTTTACTTATCTGAAACATACCTTTCATCCGCTCCAGTACCCCTGAAACATTATTAAGGCCATCCCGCATTATCAACAACAGATGTGGTATACAGTTACCGTGCCCAGCGTGTGCGTATTCATAACTCAAAAATTTTAATTCCTAACTATTTCTTTTTTGAAGAAATAGTTTTTTATCACAATTCATATTAGGGCAATGTAGACTTGCTACTGATGTGTAATAAAGCTGAAACTAAATATTGAGTTTAAAATGTTGCCTAAAAACTGTGAACTCAAATTATGCCTTGGGAGAAATACCTTCTGCTCTAAATTCTCTGATTTTAACCTCATATTAATTTTCAGATTTAATATTTGCTTTTAGCATAAGGAATACAGATTTATTAGTGTAATGTGTAACATAACTCAGTTATGTAGATAAAAGGATCGTAACAGAAATAACGTTACTGACATAATATTGTCTTTCTTCCACAGAAATCCACATTTCTTCTCCAAATGAAGGTGAACTATCAACTTCCTTCTTACAAAGTGTAAATGGTATGTATACGAGTTTTGTTGCATGAAACAAAGTGCAAATAATATATCATTTTCGGTTACGCACCAAACACAGCTGTTAACATAAAGGATAAAAATTTGTGTATGTACATATTGGTTTGAAGTGTGAAACATATGGTAATTATCGTATTCCACACCATAATCAGCTGTGGAGCTTAACTGGATCGATCATGATAAGGTTTCAAAGTGTAAATGATAGCTGGATCGATCATGATAAGGTTTCAAAGTGTAAATGATAGCTGGATCGATCATGATAAGGTTTCAAAGTGTAAATGATAGCTGGATCAATCATGATAAGGTTTCAAAGTATAAATGATAGCTGGATCGATCATGATAAGGTTTCAAAGTGTAAATGATAGCTGGATCGATCATGATAAGGTTTCAAAGTGTAAATGATAGCTGGATCAACCATGATAAGGTTTCAAAGTGTAAATGATAGCTGGATCAACCATGATAAGGTTTCAAAGTGTAAATGATAGCTGGATCGATCATGATAAGGTTTCAAAGTGTAAATGATAGCTGGATCGCTCATGATAAGGTTTCAAAGTGTAAATGATAGCTGGATCGATCATGATAAGGTTTCAAAGTGTAAATGATACTTTTTCCTTCAGCAATCGAAATTTTATTTCTTTCAATTTTTAAAATATTAGCATATAAAATATTAGTAATTAGTATATCAAATATTAGTAATTAGTGTATAAAATAAATATTTTAATAATATGTCCCGAAAAAGTGTTACAAATTGTTAATTTCCCACTCTTTCTTTAGAAATATATCTTTTTGTTGAAGATACATTATAAACAAATACAATGTCGTCAGTTTAATAAAAAAGTAAATGAGTAAAAAATGTAACGTATTTATTACAGGAAAAAAACAGTGGATCAATAACTCAACTGTCGGTAAACCAGCATTCTCGGCCGAGGGCGACGCCGACAATAGACGGGGTAAATTGATATCTTAGAGAAAGTTAGATCATAAATATGAGGTTTGATAATAAACAAGATTACGACACTTATGATATACAACATTGTTTATTGACAAAAAGGGGACA